ACTTCCCACTGGATGCAAGACTTTAAACGTGGTACTTGAGAGCTTGACACGTTGATACCACATGTCCAGCATATGCAGCCACAGCCTACATTCGTCAACATCATAGATGCTCAGCTATTTTTTTTATTGTCCCTCCTAGTCAGCTGGTTTCATGCCTGATGTCTCGTTCGCGACTGTGGCAGAAGATATCGAAGGAGCTGAGTGTTATGGTTGTCCTCAAAATAGATACTATTTGTTTTCCGGTTTTATTCCTTTAATTTCAATAAATTTTGGCTGGTCGCACATAATTGCTCTCGTATCAGGCCATTTGATTCAACTAATAAGAACGAAGGTACCACCACCAGCAATGGAAGAAAACTATAGATTCAAACCATTTCTGTAGACAACAATTTGCTTTATCACCTTATCTCATTTTATAATGTCTACCACTATTATAATTACTCTTTGAGGGTTGCGAAGTGGACTCGAGGAAAGAGGTACTCTCTTAGATCCAGCTCACAAGTTTTTAATCGATTTAATCGAGTCTGAATGCAGCCTCTAAAGTATCAGGAGTTCGGTTTCACTTCTCTTTTTGGTCCGTAATCATGAAAAGTGAAGCTACTGCTCGGACTGCCAGTAGGAATGTCTTTGAAACTGAGCGAGGTGACTTGCTATTGAGTTGAAAGCCATTCAGCAAGAAGCGTCACTTCCGCAACTAAATAAAGGTAATAAAAGAATATTACTGGAGTTTTTTTCCAACACCAAACCGTTATTTTAACACCTCGACACGTGTTTCGATCACCAAGTGATTATCTTCAAGGGGAAAGATCAAACTCAGTGATATTCATTACTACACCAAAGTTCCCAAACAGTGCATTACAAGTAAATGAAGTTAAACTAATACAAGGTGTCATGGAATACTTCGACTGATTCAAGCACTTTACCGTGTCCTTCCATAGGTCAACTCGTTGCTCAGGTCAAGTGGGAGCCTGAGAACTTCTGCCCATATGCTATCAATACGTCCAGCATATTTATTCCCGACCTATATCAATTGGTATTACCGTCAGCTGTGCTACATAATCATCTCCAAAGTACTCCCACGGTATTAACAGTACTTTTACGGTATTATCGAGATGCAGTACACTTCTGGAAATATCAAATCTTTTTCGAAATAACAATGTTTTCAAATTTCTCTATAAATATTCTTTGTCACCCTTAAAGAGGTACCAGTTTATGAACCTTATGTAGATAGTTGTCTCAAATCTTCAAAGTGAAACATCCTGTTCTTTTTACTCCCTGGCGGGACAAATATTGTGGGGAAGAAAATCAACTGAATCGAAACAAATGTCAAGATGTACTCCTCAAACTTTACATACCCAGACTCCGTTAAAATTGTTGATATGATTATATGAGTCCTTGACAAGATGATTGCCCTGCGCTAGCAAGATTATATTGGTATTTACAAAAAAAACTGCAATCTTTAATGTATATAAATAGAGGAGGATGTCATTCTTGATTCACTGCATCATACTCAGATTATAATCTCCTCATAACAAAGATAATTACCCAAGAGCATCCATTGACGGGTACCTTCTGGTAAAGGGCTTCGTTGGCAATTTCCTCATGAGAACGAAAGCAGTGACCATTTACTTCAAGTACATAGAGCTCGATTTTTTCACCGAAATATTGAATATAGTTTGAAACACAGTTTTTTGTTATCTACAGAATGATTCATTTCCATAGATTATACGCTTCAAGTTTTCCCAGTCATACAACCAAAATGAAGGCATTAATCTCCGTTGTTGAGTTGTTTCTCATTTGAAATACAAAATTCTCGAAATTTTCTATGCTATTCTGTCCATCGTTTTTTTGTCTTCGATAAATGTATGGAATTTTTTCCCTATGATAACAAGCTTTAAAAATATAAGACAAATTGGGAACAGAAAAAATATTTTTTGGAGGATTTTTCCCAGTAATATGAACTTGCTTGAATACGAACGTCTCTCAAACAGAAAAACTGTGAAGAAAAACAAAAAACTCCAGTTTATTATTTGATAGCAAAAATGTTTTTTCAATAAATTGCCGTTCATAAATTTGAAGAAATGTGAAAAATTATGTAAATAAAAAAAGTTTCTTCTAGACATTATCTATGTTTTCAACGGTATTTTCAATAGTATGGTAAATATTCTCATATTTACAGAAACTAAAAAAAAAAACTTAATTTTGTTCAAAAACTCGTTGGAGCGACCGGTTTGAGAAATAAAAAATAATCAATAATCATTTGTATCTATTGTATCCATTGAGATCCACAGAAAATTATTTACTATTTCTCGATTTTTCAAACAAGTTGAAAAGTTTTCATATAGAACCAAATTTGTTGATCTCTCTGAGCTCTCTGACAAAAGTCAATATGTCAACTAAAATTCTTGAGGGTTTCTGAGAGCGGTGCCTGTGCGGAAGTAGCGATTTACATTCGATTTGAAGTGAGCAGTTTTGAGGTTTACACCAGCCGTGCGCAATCGTAACATGGCCATTAACGCAACCTCCTTAACGTACAGGTCCAGAGGGGTCAGACCAGTAATTAATTTCATTACTACGGTTGGTATTGTTCTCATGGCTCCTATGATGTTTAAACAAGCCAATCGTTGTATTTGATATAATTTTTATATAGCAGTTGCTTGTAGAACTTTAGGTCCCCATGCAATTGCTGCGTACGTTAACATAGGTCTTATTATTGCAGTGTAGATCCCGGTCACCACTCGGGGTGAAAGACCTCATGTGCGTCTCACGACATTGCTCATAAGCCACGTACAAGGCCGTAGCCTTGATCCCCCCCCGAACGTTCTACAAGCAACGGCCATCCAGAAAGTATATCAAATACAACGATTGGCTTGTTTAAACATCACAGGAGCCATGAGAACAACACCAACCGCTACAATGGAATTAATCACTAGTCTGTTCCCTCTGGACCTGTACGTTAAGGAGTTTGCGTTAATGGCCATGTTACGATTGCGCACGGTTGGTATGAACCTCGAAGTAGGAATGGGTCAATTGAAGCTGAGCCTATGATGAGAAAAGCTCACTACGCAACCTCTGCTGCATGCAACCACTGATGCAATTGAACCCAGGTTTGTGTTTAATAAACCCTACAAAATATAAATAAAACGAAACACGAAGTCAGATACTACAAATGCAATACGCATATATACAGATGGCTCAAAAACCAAAGACGGCTCAGGATGAGAAGTGTACTTCGGATTACTAAGCCTAAGGATTAAGTGGGGATGGAAAAAAAAATCAGCGTGGTTCAAACAGAACTGGCTGGTATCTCAATTGCCACAAAAACAATAACAATCTGCACTGATAGCAGACAAGCACTATTAGCCTTGAACAGACAACGTGTTACCTCAGGTCTAGTAATAGAGTGCCACCATGATTTAGCCAAAGCCTCGGTAGATAATAACATTATCCTTAGGTGGATTAAAGGGCATGACAGAAGTAAAGGTAATCGTATTGCCGACTCTTTTGCCAAGGAAGCGGCTGGACTAAGAATTTTAGGACCCAGTGGCACATATACGGCCTAATGAATTCGACAATTGTGGAGCCAACCAAACGTTACACTCATGTTCAATCCCTGAAGAGATGGAATGGAATCAAAGGATGCAATCTTGCCAGGGTAACCGTGAGCGACCCTGGGAAACTGGCGACGAAGAAATATCTGGCGATGACCAGAAAAAGTCTACGCTTAACAGTAGGATTTTTGACTGGCCACTGTCAACTAAGAAAACGCCCCCATAATATGGGATTAGTGGACACATCTCTATGCAGTATGTGTGAACAGGAAGATGAAACTGTCAGGCATATCCTATGCGAGTGCCCGGAGTTATCGTCAATAATAGACTGTGTATTCGGCGAGTCTTGGCCTACACCTGCCGATATAAAGGAGATGTATCCTCGTAACCTGTCCACCTTCCTGGAAAAGACAGGAGGGACGAGGACCTAGGAGGACAACTCCTTGGGAGGATGTACAATGTGTCACATGTGGCCTGAGTGCTGTTGGCCTACACTCACCCTTCCCACTCTACAGATACAGATACTATTGGAATTATAAAATCCGTTAGAAATTCAATCAAGTCCTTGGCAAAACGAACCAAGTGCTTGAAAGAGAATATTGAAAAAAACTTTTCCGAAACTCAATGAAAAAATCTTACGGCAATGTGCGTACAAACTTTTAAAGATCTTGGCGACACTACCTCTTTCCACATGTACCCCTGAAAGGACTTTTTCTTCTGTGAAACGCCTCAAAACTTATTCAAGAAACTCCACAAGCCAGGAACGACTAAACGGTTTTGTGTTCTACGGTGTCAATCCACCGTAGAATTGACATCGACACCGAGGAGGTAATTGATTTGTTTGCTGCAAAGAAAGCTAGAAAACTAAATATGATTTTGTAAGAAGATGTTAATATTTCTGTAATGGTTTTCTAATGAATATATATTTTCATGTAACACCATTTTCTTTCTTTCGTTATTTTTATATTTCATGTTTTTCTACTTCCAACAGTCCACAAACACAATGATTCTTGTTGCAAAATTGGAAACATATAAGACCGTATTTCATGTATTTCGAAAAACATTGGGAATATCCGAAATTATAATGAACATTTTGTAGATCTCAATGATTTCAGAAATTATAGTGATATGAAATTGTTTTATTGTATATAGTATTTGGTTGTATACAGTATTTACATAATTTTTGTTTTCAATGACGGCTTTGAAGAAGTTTACATCTAAAAATCAAAATCATAGGTACTCAACTGGTTTAGGTGTGGTCATATAAATTACATGTCTGAAATTATTTCGATCGATACTTTTCAAACTCTTTAACTTCTACACACTGTTCTCACTTCCGAAAAGAGTAACTGAAAGTGACAGTAACTGATTTTTCTTGAACTGCAATATTTTTATAATTCATACTGTAGCTGAACTATTTTAAATTGATACATGTGTTTTTTATTACAGATATATCCACAGCAAGGAAAAACCATTCAAATGCAACGAATGTGGCAAAGGATTCTGTCAGTCTCGAACACTTGCAGTTCATAAAATTCTTCATTTGGATGAATCGCCCCACAAATGCCCCGTATGTAACAAATCTTTCAACCAACGGTCCAACTTGAAAACTCACATGCTGACGCATACGGATCACCCTGTGGAATGCGTTGCGTGTTCACAGTTTTTCGCAAATTGTACAGAACTGAAAAACCATGAAATGCTACACTGTCAAGGCAAGTCATCTGAAGTACGGATATCGGATAGGGAGAGAACCAGCCAATCCAGCACATGCCTAGATTTGACGACGAAAAGGGATTTCTGTGGCGGTACTTCCAAAAGTCCTACGGTTAAGTTAGGCTTCTCAATTGAGGATATTATGAAAAGATGAACTAGGCAGTGAAATGTGTTGTATTGTTACTCTCTATCGAATTACCAAAGATGTTAGTTATTCCTACCTCTCTCTTAGACTGATCAGCAAGAAATAATGTTACCAATTATTTGCCCAATGATCTCCAGTTCCATTGAATTTATTCAGTATTTTTATTATAGTTAGTTATACCTGAGCGTACTTATTTATTTCTCATTGAATGGACATTTGGTTTCGTGAAGAGCAAATTGGTGTGAGTTGAGTAGAGATTTTTGTTAAAATAAATATATATTTCCTGAGCCTGTTTTCATTATTCATTTAACAAGGTATTCTTCGAAGCGATAGCAAATATTTGGCAGGATATTTATTCGCCAATGGAAACATTGCATATTTCATTGCATATTAGTAGATATCCACATTTGTGAAGGATAAGCCAAGTGAAGATTATTATAGTTATAACTGATTTCGTAAGTTGTGTAAATATGTAAAGTCATGAAATTTTGTAAGAGCATTAATTCATCCGTTTTATGAACCTATATACTGCTATATTTTCGAGAAGATTATAGATTACGATATACTTTGATTACAGAAAAGGAATTGTTAGGAGCTGAAAGATTAATTTTTAAATTATTACCGAATTACTCTCAAGTTGTTATTTTTTTTGGTAACAACGATTTGATTACGATGAAATTATCAGTGTATTTATAATAATGCTATTAGTTTTTTGACACATTATCATTCAATTATCAATCAATCAATTTATTTGCTTATTATCAATACAACAGATTTAGCATCGTCAAGGTAGATAAATATAATACAAAACATACACTTTAAAATGACAAAGTATTAAAACTTGCAGTTGAAAAATTTACTTAGGTCATAAGGGCAGAGATCAACCAGCAGCCTTTTCATATTTTTTTTGAATTTAATCATATGTAATTTCCTCATATATGAGGGTAGATGGTTGTAAAGCCATATCGCCATAGTAAAAAAGCTTTTATGAGTTGTGGCATAAGTTGACAGTCAATCTGTTTAAAAAAATCTGTTTGAAATCTGTTTTTCCGTTAACCAGCTGTCGCACCCCTACGAACGACAACCCTTAGAAGTCAAAACTTGTGTGAGCTAAGGATTAACGAGGTCTTACCTTTTAACGTGTGATTCCTAACACGGGTTGGACGATAGCAAGTGAAGTGAACCACCGACCAACACGACAGTCAATTCGAGTGAGTGAACAAATCACCCACGCCGAACCGCTTGGCTACCGACCGGCCATTGGCTTATGCCAATGTTGTGGCGTAAGCCAATGGCCGGTGTGTTATTTTGTGTCTTGATATAGACAAGACATTGAAATATGTATAGAGCCGTAATGATTAATATATTAAGGTTTTCACATAGAGATCTACAGCTGTCAGTTCGTATTGTCCTTCCCAGGATTCTTGTAGTTATTTTTGTGAAATGAATTTCCTTTTACAATCAGTAAGTCCCTAAAAACTCTATCCGTATTACAGCTTAGACTGAAATAACCCACTGTAAGCTGCTATCGAAACTTGAGAGGTAACAAATTCAATGATTCTACGAAGCAGGTAAAGAGTGCTGGATCTTTGATGTGTTCTTTCTACTTGAGTTTTCATCCAGCATTACCCCCAAAAACTTTATGGATTTTTGACTGTTCTTCAGATCTTTTAGTGTGAACGTAATTGTTTCAGTTTTCTTAACATTCAAGCATAACTTATTGGCTGCAAAAAAATTTTGATTTTTTTCAACGCGTTGTTAGTAAGTTGCCTTGGATATTCATGTTCATGGTGACTCTCATAAATAGTAGTATCATCGGTTTACTAAATCGTGTCGAACTGATTCATACACAATTTGTAACTTAATAACTTTTCCGATTGCACTGATTTTTTATTTCATATAATAATTATTTGGCATTAGGTCACGTGTCGAACTGATTCATATGGTGTGGGAGATATAAACGTTGAGAGTTGAAAACTCGGGAAAATAAAATTAAATCACAATTTGTAACTTAATAACTTTTCCGATTGCACTGATTTTTTATTTCATATAATAATACTTTGGTATTAGGGTCACGTAACTCGAAGGGCCTCAGGTACTAGAAAGATCCCTTGGATCTTTCTAGTACCTGAGTGAGATTAATTTTTAAAATTATTTGAGGAAACTTCTTTTTACGATTCAGTTACGGCATCATGGTTTATTCCAGTTGGTTCAAAAGATATAGTCTATATAGCTTAAAACTGTGGAGTGAACAAAAAAGTATCTTCAAAAACTTTGATATGACTCCAATCGAGTATTTTTGGGATGAACTGGAGGGGCTAATTATAAATCAATAATTATTAAGATGATGCCTTTGCTGAAAAATGAAACAAAATTCCTAGGCAAACGATTGCAACCACTTATTCGAAGCGTACTGAGAAGAATAGAGTTTTTATTCAAGGCAATGGGTAAGGGGGCAATCCCTATATTAAATTCAATTGCATTTGTAGATGTTATTTTAATGTTTTTTTACAAAATAACAGATATGTAAAATGAACAATCGATAAATAAACCATAAAGTATCTATCTCTCGAACCCAGTGAGATAAAGATACAAATGGAAATTCAAACCATTAAATATGCGACGTATTCAAGTTACATTTTATTGTGAGATTTTTACTGGACACGTGTTTTGCTAAACAATAGCTTGTTCCGCTTGATTAGTGGTTTCCATATGTTGCGTACCTCTTCGCTAGCTTGGTTAAATGCGTTGTTGGACAACATATATGCGACTTCTTTGAATTTTCTCCTAAACCAGTGTTCTTCCTTGTGGATGATTTCAGCTTGAGCCCACTTGATGTTATGTTGATGAGTCCGAACGTGCTCTACTATTTCTGATTTGCTGGTTTCTCCTCGCTGTGTGTGTTTCTTATGCTCAGCAATGCGAACTTTCAATGGCCTCTTAGTTTCACCGATGTATGATTCTCCGCACTTGCAGGGTATCCGGTAAATGCAATTCTTGGAATCGCAGTCCGCGTTTGGTGGCCTGGTTTTTGTGATGCTGCTACGGATAGTGTTCCCAGATCTGAAGCAGGTTATACTTGGACCCAATCCTTCTTATCCTTCCCGATAATCCTCTGATGTAGGGGAGTACAAGTACTGGTCGTGGCGGCTTCTCTTCCTTGTGGAACTCTTGCTGTCTTCTAGCTGAAGCCTGTTCTACCATTACTCTGGAATAACCATTCCGTTGAAGGTTATTTTTGATGATGCCTATTTCTTTTTCGAGAACTTCCTTTGTATTACTGAGCTCGAAAGCACGGTCTAGTAGAGTCTTGATGATTCCTCTCTTAGTCGATTGATGGTGGTTGGATTTCTGGTTCAGATACTGTCCTGTGTGAGTGGGTTTTCGATATACAGATGTTTCCCATTTAGTGTCGGTCCTCTTCACCAATACGTCTAAGAAAGGCAATTCGTTGTGGACTTCCTTCTCTATTGTGAAAGTGATGGAAGGACTTACGTTGTTGATGTGCTTCAGGAAAATGTCTAGTTCTGTATTCCCATGGTTCCATATTATGAAGGTGTCGTCTACGTATCTCAACCAGACTCGGGGCTTCTTGTGGGCTTCATCAATGGCCAGAGTTTCAAACCACTCCATATATATATATTAGCTATAATCGGTGAAAGTGGCGATCCCATTGGCAGTCCCTCATCTTGCGTAAAAAATTCGTCCTTCAGTTGGAAGTAGCAGTTTCGTACACAGCATCCTAGTAATTCCATGATTACTTGTACTGGTACGTTTGTTCTATCTTTCAGGTCCCCATCTTCGGATAACTTTTTTTGTATGATTTGATGTGCTTCTTCGACAGGAACGTGGGTGTAGAGGCTTTCCACGTCGAAACTGACCAGTTGAACCTGCTCTTTGACTTCGATTTCCCCAAGTAGTTCACAATAGATGATGTTTTACCTTGCAATGGTTTCATTATTGGTAGTAAAAACCTGGACAAGTTCTGAGTGGCTGAATCTCTGGAGCTAAAGGCCACAAAAAGGATGTTCCGCTCAGACCGCTCCCTTGAGAAATAGGGGAGTTGGAAATATTTGTAATAAGGAATATGGATGAACGAATAAAAATTCACCAAAAATGGTTGGTTTGAAAGAAACATCTATTATAGGTGGTATAATATAAATGAACATTTATATAGAAGAACCAATTTCCAGGAAAGGTTCGGAATAAATAAATGGTTGGGAATTTTGCATGGGAAGAAATCTTTTACGATGAGCATTTGAATGGTGAAATGTATATACATTTTTTTATCCAAAGAGTTTTATGACTACTCAGATGAATTGTCACTGTGCCACCGTGAAACACAATATTTTCAACAAGACGGTACAATAGTAAGAAAATATTCAGATGCAATGTTTCCAATAAAATAGATTGGAAACAATGGACCAATTGCCTGATCAGATCGATCCTCATACTTTACTCCTTTAGATTTTTTGGTCTGGGGATACTATGAAGAATAAAGTTTTTTCGACACTTAGTAAAGATATTGACCATCTCAAACAAGGAATGAGATATATATGTATTAGCATTACACCCACCATGCTAGAAAGTTGTCACAGAAATTGTATGGACATACAACTTATATCCATTCAACAGAGAGGCTGTCAATTCGATCATCCAATGTAGTTTGTCATGTAGAATTCACTTTCTCCATTGGTTTTAATTTCCTTTAAACTTCAGTAAACAATAAACTCAGTGATACTATCTCCTTTCGGGTTTGAAGGACGGCGTGCTTTGGAACTGCATACTAACGTTTCACAAGTTCGGCTGGCTGGCTTCTTCAGAGGTTTATTTATATCGATGATTCATCGATGACTGGTGATTTCTAGTTCATAGGTTGTATTTATGTTGACTGAGGTAGTCTTATGATGCATCTAAAGCGGCAGCGAACATCGTACATTCACGCCCTTAGCTACGTCACAATTGGTTCATGGCTGGCCGTGGCGGCCTGCGTTATTTTCTTTGGAGCACGATTCACAATACTAGCCCTTTTCCTGAGGCTGTTCGCCCCGAACAACATTCTAAGAGGGGACATCACGACCCATGTAAGGACACATCCTATCTATATGGACAACTTCAGGCTTGCTTCTGGGGGACAATTGGATTCTGTACACCAGATCCTTTATCTTTTTGGTTACCAAGTAAGGTTTTTGCCATGGTCTCTGCAACTTGGGACACAAACCTTTCTGACGTTGGGGTTGGTAGAGCCACATTGCATCGTTCTCCTTGAAGCTCACTGGCAGCGACT